GACATAATTACCAAAATACTCCTAATGTGAATGTTCACATCGTCAATGTATTATCACACCGTCAATGTGAATGTTCCTATTTGAGGTAAGAAGACCAAAATACCCTTTTCATCTACTTATGTTCCATTTAGTCCACATTATTTTCTTATGTTTCAATAAGTCCTATGGGTGACATAATTACCAAAATACCCCTAATGTGAATGTTCACATCTTATGGGTGACATAATTACCAAAATACCCCTAATGTGAATGTTCACATTGTCAATGTAAATGTTCCTACTTGAGGTAAAAAGACCAAAATACCCTTTTCATCTACTTATATTCCATTTAGTCCACATTATTTTCTTATGTTTCAATAAGTCCTATGGGTGACATAATTACCAAAATATCCCTAATGTGAATGTTCACATCCTATGGGTGACAAAATTACCAAAATACCCCTAATGTGAATGTTCACACCGTCAATGTAAATGTTCACACCGTCAATGTGAATGTTCATATCATCAATGTGTAGGGGCTCGGCCCAGCCCGGGTCGGGGCCAACCCATGTAAAGCCTCGTGGGTGCTTGCCAAAATTCGGGTCGGGCCGGACCGGCCCACGGGCTAAAAAATTAGGCCTAGGCCCAAGCCCTGGCACAAAGGTATTCAGGCTTTGGGTGCCCCGATGGGTCGAGCTAAGGGGCTTGGGCCTAAACTGGGGCTTGGGCCTAGACTTGGGCTTAGGTCGGGCTTGGGTGAGCCTCGCCATTTTTTTTAGTTATTTTTAATTTTTTCTACCAAAATTTTATTATTTTCCACAAAAAAGACACCGGGCCTCGGGCTGAGCCTTAAATGGGCCTTATGCGGGCCGAGCTTCAAAGTGATGGCCCAGGTCCTAGCCCAAGTTCTCGGGCTAAGCTCGGGCCCGGGCCCAAACGAGCTTGCCCCGGGCCGTGGGAGGGCTTCGGGTGGCCCACGGGCTGCGGGCTAATTTTACACTCCTATCAATGTGAATATTAACATGTCAATGTGAAAATTCACATTGTCAACAGGTCGTACCCGCTCCGGGCCGCGAGCCAATTTTACACTCCTATCAATGTTAATGTTAACATGTCAATGTGGATATTCACATTATAAACGGGCCGGGCCGGGCCTGCGGCCAGGTTTCGGGCTGCTTACGAGCCGCGGGTCAATTTTACACTCCTATCAACGTGAATGTTAATATGTTAATGTGAATATACACATTGTCAACGGGTCGGGTCGGGCCCGTCCCGGGCAGCGCACGGGTCGCGAGCGGGTTTCGGGCCGCGGGCCAATTTTATACTTCTATCAATGTGAATGTTAACATGCCAATATGAATATTCACATTATAAACGGACCGGGCCCCCCCCGGCCTAGGGGGGAGCTTTGGACCGCCCACGGGCCACGAGCCAATTTTACATTCTTACCAATGTAAATGTTAAAATATGAATATTTACAGCCCGCCCTGTAACGCCCCGACCCTTTACATGTCATCGATATTGTCCGCTTTGGGCCACGCCCGCACGAATTTGTTCTTCCCAGTGGGTCACCCATCCTAGAACTACTCCAGCCTAAGCACGCTTAACTGGGGAGTTCTAATAGGGATTTCACCACTTGGGAAAAGGCCTCGATGCTATATAAGGGTCCAGGTTTTTACTTTTATAGCCCAGGAACTCCCCCTCCATTTCCGATGTGGGACACCGGGGCCTTACACCCCCCCGCCAGGGCAACGGGCAGGCTTTGGGCCGCCCACGGGCTGTGGGCCAATTTTACACTCCTATCAATGTGAATGTTAACATATCAATGTGAATATTTACATTGTAAACGGGCCGGGCTGGGCCCGATGGCGGGTTTCAAGTCACCCACGTGCTGCGGGCCAATTTTACACTCCTATCAATGTGAATGTTAACATGTCAATGTAAATATTCACATTGCAAACGGGCCGGATCGGGCCCGCGGGCGAGTTTCGGGTCGCCTACGGGCCACGGGTCAATTTTACACTCCTATCAACGTGAATGTTAATATGTTAATGTGAATATTCACATTGTCAACGGGCCTGCCCCGGGCAGCCCACGGGTTGGTTTCGGGCCGCCCACTGGCCGCGGGCCAATTTTACACTTCTATCAATGTGAATGTTAACATGTCAATGTGAATATTCACATTGTCAACGGACCGGGCCCGCCCTGGCTCGGGGGCGAGCTTCGGACCACGCATGGGCCACGGGCCAATTTTACATTCTTACCAATGTGAATGTTAAAATATGAATATTTACAGCCCGCCCCGCCCCGCCCCGGGCAACGAGCGGGTTTCAGGCCGCCCACAGGCCACGGGCCAATTTTACATTTCTATCAATGTGAATGTTAACATGTCAATGTAAATATTCACATTGTAAACGGGCTGGGCCGAGCCCGCGGGAGGGTTTCGGGCCGCTTACCGGTCGCGGGTCAATTTTACACTTCTATCAACGTGAATGTTAATATGTTAATGTGAATATTCACATTGTCAATGGGTTGGGCTGGGCCGGGCCAGCCCCGCCCCGGGAAACCCACGGGCCACGGGTGGGTTTCGGGCCGCCCACGGACCGCGAGCCAATTTTACACTTCTATCAATGTAAATGTTAACATGTCAATGTGAATATCCACATTGTCAACGGACCGGGCCCGCCTTGGCCCGGGGGCGATCTTCGGACCGCCCACGGGCCAATTTTACATTCTTACCAATGTGAATGTTAAAATATGAATATTTACATCATAAAATTACTAACCGTTCAAAAAATATTTGTAAGGGTATCAAAATTAAATATAAGGGTATACGAGTATAAAAAAAAAGTGTAAATTAAGAAAAATGACTTTATGGAATAAAACTATACATACATGGGACTAAATGGGTTAATAAATTTCTTCACGGACTTTTTGGGTTAAAACACTTCTAAATGGGATTTATCAATAAAAATCCCATAAATAATCAAAAATTAATTTTTAAAATTAAATAATAATCTAAAAATCTATCTACAATATTTATTAAAAATAATTTAGAATCAATTAAATTTTATTCGTTTTTATCACAGTTACATATAAGAAATTTTTTTTTTTATTCTTATGTCATTAATTGTGTGTTCTAAGTTCTTAATAGCAACAAATATATGTCATAATTTAAGTGGTAAAAATCAAAAAATAAATCACAAAAATTGTATTTATGATAAAATATAAATACATTTCGTCTTATGAGTTTCGTAAATGTAATTTATCATATGATAATAGTAAATTACATTTGTCAATATAGTAATTTTTTCATATTTTGTGTTGTCTAAAAATTATAATTTGTCTTATGTTATAAGATTTAAATACAAATGAATTAGGATTCACTTATGATATTAAATTTGGGCTTAACATTATATTTACGCCAACTTGTCATTCACCTAATCATTAAAAATCGTCTTATTCTGTTCTCGACTTATATGAATCATTTGACCTATCTATTTATTAAATTAATAAATAAATATTTGTAAATATTTTTTTATAATGAAAATAAGAAATATTGACTTATTTTATGCATACTTAGTACAAAGTTTCAACAAATATATGTCATAATTTAAGTGGAAAAAATTAAAAAATAAATCACAGAAATTATATTTATGATAAAACATAAATACATTTCATCTTATGAGTTTCGTAAATTTAATTTATCATATGATAGTGGCAAATTATATTTGTCAATATAGTAATTTTTTTATTGTGAAGTCTAAAAATTATAATTTGTCTTATATTATAAGATTTACGTAAAAATGAATTAGGATTCACTTGTGATATTAAATTTGGGCTTAACATTAGATTTATGCAAACTTGTCCTTCACCTAATCATTAAAAACTGTCTTGTTATGTTCCCAACTTATATGAATTATTTGACCTATCTATTTATTAAATTAGTAAACAAATATTTGTAAATATTTTTTATAATAAAAATAAGAAATATGAACTTATTTCATGCATACTTATTAAAAGGTTTGAACTATAGTTTTTTTTTAAAAAAACTATATATTTATGTTTAAAACAATTAAATGAATAGTTATATATATTTATGTATAAAAATATTATTTAAGATAAAGTCACCCTAAATTGTAGGTCATATTTTAGTTCTAATAAATTTAAATTATACCATTGTTTATCAGTTTGTGACTGATATGAGCTAAGTTGGGGGTTCTAATATTGGATTAAACACTACAAGTAGCCAAAAAAAATTAGTTCAAGTCAATTTTTTTTGTCAATAATTCTTGATTTAAGCCTAGTCCTTAGAGAATCGTCTAATTCATGTCCAATCTATGAATTAGTAGACCTACCTATTTATTTAATTTTTAATTAGTAAATATATATATTTTTTTAAAAATTATAACAAAATAGGAAATATGTACATATTTGTTTTGATATATTTATTAACAATTTCAAAATTAATTAAGAAATTATGTACGTATTCTTAAAAGGATAAATAACATTGATAATCCCTATATTTTAATTCTTGTATTATTTTGTCCTTGCAATTTTAATTTGTTCAATTTTGACTCTAAATTTATAATTTTGTCTCAATTTGGTCCAATTGTTATAATTGCTATTATTTTTTTTTATTGAAAATACACACATGAGTAGCATATGTTATACTTTTATAGACAAAATTATAAACTTGTTCAACTCAATAAGTTAATCTCAACCAACTTAATAACTATGTTCTTTAAAAAATCTTAACTGACATTATCAATCGGACCAAATTAATACAAAATATAAAATTATGGGTAAAAATCAAACTAATTGAAATTACAGATACCAAATTGACACAAGAGACAAAATGCAGGAACTATCGATATAATTTACCATTCTTAAAATATGTCTAATATTAATTGTATCAATATTAAGATATATTTATATCTGGAAAACTATTTAAGACTAGATAAGGTTAAAACAATAAAAATGGTCAAATCAAAAAAAAAAAAAAAAAAAACTATGGTCAAATAAATTTAAGACTGACCAACCTCGTGGCGAAATAATGTTTACTATTCAACCATTGGAGTTTGCAATTATTTTATAAAACACCTGAAAGGACCTAAGCTCCATACAGAAAGTTCACTAGTGTCATACACAACAGAGTGGTTTATATGTTTACTATTAAGACTTCGAATTGGCCGATCGGGCCAACAGGTCTTGCTTTGGTACTAAGAAGTTTGAATACTACTAAAATTTACGTACACCAGTATGGAAAGTTCAATATGAATATACTATACACAACTCGCTAATGTAGAGGGGGATTGATCAATAGCTGCTATAACCCCCTGAAGTTCGGCTAGTGAGGGACGGTCTCATTCTGACAAGAGCAGATTCATTTGCTCCAGCTCTCAAAGCTGTCTTTCCAGCTTCCAAGAACCTTGCAACTGCTGTCTCCGCATAACGGTTTGCTTCACCCACAGTCATGGATTTTCCCATATATGGGTAGGTATTGAGAACATGATCACCGACCAGCTGGGATGCAAGCTGGATCAACTCGACTTGGAACTCAGAGAGTTTCTCATCTTCCTTTGGTCCGCGTGACCTGAGTGACCTCCTAACTTCTGGGAGCTTTACTGTATAGCCAACAAATTTCACCGCTCAAGATGATTAAATTCAATGCGAGTATATAGCTACTTAAATCAAAACTATAATAAGAGACAGACTCACGCGAGTGTCATGTTCGATTCTAGGGTTCTTGAGAGCTAAGATGTGGCAGATTATATCCATCCAACCCTATATATCATCAGCTGAGCCCAACTTAGGACTTTATATGAGGAAAATCAATTTGAAGAGATCCTCAACACTCAACTGTATTAACAAAAGGGGGGCCTCTAGGTAATCATATTTCAATCTACATGTTCGGAAAAACTCAGGTACTATGAATGCTCAACTTTCAAAACCATGTCCAATAAACGGCCGAGAATCCTATACCCAAGCACAGCAGAATTTAAATTTTGTTTTGATTTACAATTCTCATGATCATGTTTATAATGTATAAAAAACATATATAACAAGCAAACATCAATTGTAGATAGAAGATGATCCTAAATGCAAAATCCAATTTCGTGTTTGATCCTTTTAGTTCACCGACTCCAATTTCAAAGTCTCAATTGTTTGGCTTCAACCTCTAAAAGAATGCACACGGAGCAATTCATGAACACAAACACTGACACACTCACTAGCATAAAGATTCAGGGGGAGAAGGCAATGAGTATGAAGATGAAGACATCAGCGAAGGTGGAAGCAATAGTGAAAGTGGAAGAAGATGTCGGTTGGGGTCGCCGACAAAGATGACAATGGAGACGGCGGTGGTCGACAACGATGGAGATGCCGATGGCTATTGATAGAGAAATATGCACACACACACAGATAGAAAGAGAGAAAGAGTAATAACCCTTAAGAACCAAAAATGTTCAAATTTGAGTATAAAAATCTGAGGCCAAAAATGAAATAAACAAAAATATTCAATACCTATAGGTAAAAGAGTCTCCATTAAAAACCTATTGGGTACTAAGAAAAAAAAAAAAAGGACAAAAAAAAAAAAAAAAAAAAAAAAAAAAAAAAAAGCTCATAACTATATTATCAATTCACATATATCAAAAGACATAATAACAATAATATAAAAAATACACAAACATCCACCAAAAAAAAAAATCAAATCAACTCTCAAAACAAAGATAGTTCACAAGTATATATTTATTATCAATTTAGTTGGAAAAAAAATACATTGGAAAAAAATATCATATAGAAAAAAAAAATACTCACATGACAATATAAATTTACAAAATAAATAAATAAAAAATCACAACCAAACAAACTTGAAATAAGTTTGGACTATTGGCAAAGAGAGAGAATAACTATTGCATCATTACATTTGGGGAGGAGTTGGTCGGGCAAGAAAAAATATCAAATATTGAGTATTTTAAAGAAAGAATTGTATTGAATTTTTAATTTGATTGGGTTTGTAAAATTTTAGATTTATTTATTTTCAAAAAAGGTGAGAGTAAAATGAAGGAGGCTTACCATATTATTTTAAATTTTGAAATTCAAAATCATAGATAATTAGTGTCTTTCTTTTTTTTTATTTGAATTGTTTTGATCAACATTATTTTTGGAAAGAGTGACTTATCATATTGTTTTGAATTTTAAAATTCAATATTGTAGATAATTAGAACTTTTTTTTTGTTTTATTTTGAATTTTAAAATTCAAAATCATAGATAATTAGTGTCTTCATTTTTTTTATTTGAATTGTTTTGATCAACATTATTTTTGAAAAGAGTGAGAGTGACTTATCATATTGTTTTGAATTTTAAAATTCAATATTGTAGATAATTAGAACTTTTTTTTTGTTTTATTTTGAATTTTAAAATTCAAAATCATAGATAATTAGTGTCTTCATTTTTTTTATTTGAATTGTTTTGATCAAAATTATTTTTGAAAAGAGTGAGAGTGACTTATCATATTGTTTTAAATTTTAAAATTCAAAATTGTAGATAATTAGAACTTTTTTGTTTTTGAATTTTTGACTTAAGAAACTAACCAATAGATTTTTTTTATTTCTTTAAAAATTAACAAATTAATAAAATTAATTTGAAAGTTTAGAACTTTCACAATTATTATTTTTAAAAAAACTATTTCCCTTTTATATATAGAGATATTAATATAATATTTTGTTGTAAATATGACTTATCATATTGTTTTGAATTTTAAAATTCAAAATTGTAGATAATTAGAACTTTTTTGTTTTTGAATTTTTGACTTAAGAAAGTAACCAATAGATTTTTTTTATTTCTTTAAAAATTAACAAATTAATAAAATTAATTTGAAAGTTTAGAACTTTCACAATTATTATTTTTAAAAAAACTATTTCCCTTTTATATATAGAGATATTAATATAATATTTTGTTGTAAATATCTATAGAAGCAAAGTAAACTAGCAAAAAAAAAAAATTCTAATGATAAATGTTTTTTTTATTTTTTATTTTTTGTTACAGGAAAATCCTTCCTACCTTCCCGCAGTCCAAGGCAGCGCCCCTTGTAGAGATTACTAGGGTGTTCTGTTAGCCGTTCCGAGTAAGGAGACTATAACCTGAGAACTTGCCCCGACCTCCCAAAACAAGCTCCGCTTAAGTCAGGACTTGTACAGCGAGAGAGCATTGAACCCACACTAAGTGTTGATTACACAACTTGAGATCCAACTTCTTAACCAACTATGTTTCGCCCAAAAAATTAGCCTAAAAGAAAAAAAATTAAACTCATAAGCTTAAAATTTAAATCTCAAATTTTAACCACAATCCCACCCATTCTTAGGTTACGTGTGATAAATGTTACGTGTGATGTCTGTCCATATCAATATATATATCCATTCCAAACCCTCTTTTGTCCACCGAAAAAGAGTTGTTGCTGAAAGAGTTAACAAATCCTCGTAATAAATCATCATCAGATGCTTCTATCCCCCTAATAAGGACCGATCGTGGCCGCCCACTATCTGACTTTTTCTACAATAATGGCTCTCTGGGACCTCCCAACCCTCGACCCCACTCAACCATGAGAGAGGAGCTGCTGTTGTGCCCTCGTGGGATTTGTTTCGGATTTATTTTAATAATTTTAATTATTTACATTATAAAATTTATTGATTATATTTTAAAAAAAAATTAATCAGACATTAGTAACATTATGATCAGATTTTAAGTATTTCTAAAAAATTATCAAAAGTATACTAATTGTTTAATTTTTGAAAAATAAATGTAGTCTCTTATGAATTACAAAAGTCTAATTGATGTATTTTTTTTATAAATAATTTACTTAACCAATTTTACAATATGAATTATTCATATTATTAAAATATGCCCGAGACAAATCCTCCCCCAAACCGTACATGCATAACAACAATTTGTTTTTCCCCAATCAAATAGTATTTTATGTAAGGAAAATTATATACCAGTCCATTTTTCAAACTTAATTTCTAAATTCAATAATATGTACTCTCACCGTTCCAATATATTAGTTTTTTATTTTATTTTTTATTGTCCTAAAATATTAATCCCTCTTTAAAAATCAAGTACAAAAATAATATAAATTTCTTATTTTGCTTTTTTTTAAAAAAATTAATAAATAATATAAAAAGTACAATTATGACATTGATATTAATAAAAAATATACTATCAAAAAGATAATTTTAAAAAATCAATTTTTTTAAAGTGTAATAATTATACTATCAAAAAAAATTAAATTTCCCCAAAACACTATTGTTTTGGGATGGAAGGAGTATAATACACTAATATACTATCAAAGGATAATTTTGAAAAGTTAAATTTTTTATAATGCAATAATTGTACTACCAAAAACAAAATTAAATTTCCCAAAAAAACTATTATTTTGGAATGGAAAGAGTATAATACACTCTATTTTAGGGTACTTATTATATGTTCTAATTATGACATTAATATTAAATTATGACTTATTATAATATTAATTAAGACTTATTTATTTTAATTTAATTACTACATTCCTTCCTTGTTAAGGCAAAGTTTTGAATTTCTAAAGTTCTGTTTTTTATTTTGGTCCATAAAAGAAATAAATTTTCTCACTTTGCTTCTCAAATCGAAAGGCAAACCCAAACCCAATTTAATCCCCACTATACCATAACTCATTCCCAAATCCATCCAACCTCAAAATAAACTTTCATAACAAATGAAAATGAAAAATTACCATGGTTATGTGTCATTAGCTAAACAAAAAGGTTACAAATTGAAGTTCGAGGGTTAGAGCAGGAGATAATGTGATGAGTTTGCGCCACTGTTACATAACGAAAAAGCAGCTAATGATTGCTAGATTATATTGCAAAAAAATTAAACATTTTGCTCTTCGTTGAATCCAGTAAGTCATTGTTCTTCAAGAACCCGAACCCAAAAGCTTTGCAAATACTTATCATCTATATATATACAAGAACTACTGGTCATCACTACAACAGGAGGCAAAACCATGCTAGCATCTGTCAACTTCTCCAGACAACGTTGTCTACGAGATGGACTATATTTAAGCAGTAGAACTACTAATTACAACATAGACTTGTGTTCTTGAACTGTCCGAACTGGACAATCCAAGAAGAGCCTCATCAAAGATGACTAGGTATCTCTGATGAAGATTCTTGGACGGGTCTACGGCTATTCATGCATGCATGGATAATTACTTGCTAAATTAACAACTGTCATGATTTTTGCATCCCGGTGGTGCAACTTGAATCAACACTATCAAGCATACTAGAAGCATTTCTAGCATGAAGCATACTAATGAAGAAACTAAAAGTTTCTACAATGCTCTTGATAGATTATGATATAGAACTTCATCAAGATGACTAAGTATCTCTAATGAAGATTCTACAAGAACAACCAGATTATCCTGATTGATCACAAAGTAAAAAATTCCATGATTGTAGTTGATAGCACATTACAATGGCAAGTACTAGATATTAGGTATGCTTCATTTAGCCTCCGTTTGGGAAGTGGGTTGGCTTTTTGGCTTTTTGGCTTTTTGGCTATTTTAGCCTGGGCTATTTTAGCCTGGTTTGGGAAGGGCTTTTTGGCTTTTTGGCTTTTTTGGCTTTTTTTGTGAGAGAGGATTGTAATGATTATGGGTTGGATTTGATGTTTTGTTTTTTGTGGCTAAAATAGCCTATTTTGTTTTTTGTGGCTATTTTAGCCCCAAACCAAGTAAGCAACAAGTTTATCTATAGGCCACGAAATTATTTTTTATGAATTATTTATCAATTTTTATATGTTTATTTATCTATAAGTCATGAAATTAATTTTTTTTAAAAATTGTTTTAATTTTTTTCTTTATATCTAGGTCATGAAATAATTTTTCATAAATTATTTATGAAATTTTATATGTTTATCTTTCATTTTTTTAAATCAATTTTTTAACCTTTATATGTAGGTCATGAAATTAATTTTTATAAGTTATTTATCAATTTTTATAAGTTCATTTACGGGAAGAAATTTTAAATTATCTATAAGTTGTGAAATTAATTTTTTGAAATTAGTTATTTAATTTTTATCTTTATCTGTAGACCATGAAATTAATTTTCATAAATTAATTATCAGTTTTTATATGTTTATCTATATGGAGAAATTTTGAAATTCAAATCTTTATCCATAAACCATGAAATTAATTTTTATTTTAATTAATCAAACAAATAGAAAATA